TTGTGTTTAGCCACTTCAATAGCACCTGGAGGGAGGGGTTAAGTGTCAGAGTTATTGCCAAATCCCCACCGTGGTGCCCATCCTGCACCATGGAGGGGTGAGACCTCTCTGTGGGGCTGCAGGAGATCTGCAAGCCTGAATTCATGTCTCTCCCAGTAAAAGCCTGGCACTGGGCTTCCCAGAGGAAGGTGACTTCTCTACTAACTTGACCTCCCTTGTCTTCTGCAGGCAAATTGGTAATGATTGTTACTGAATACATGGAGAACGGCTCGCTAGACACCTTCCTCAGGGTAAGGAGCTCTCTTGTATTTTTATTCATTGCACATCCCCCTGGACTGAGTGACTGGAGAAGAGGCTGGTTCCTCAGCCTCACGGCCACTGCAACCCCTATGTGACAGCAGTGTGCTCTGGGCTCTCACCTCTCCAGCAGACACCAGCTCCAGGGCGTTGCAGGAGCAGCTCCGCAAAGGCAGGGGCACCTGCCTAAGCCGTGTGTCAGAGGTGCTGGGAGGGCAGGAGGTGGGCTGGGGGGACAAGAGAGAGGCACTGTGTTTAGAGGAGGTACTAAGCCAGAGGTGAGAGGTACTGGGGGGGTAGTTTAACAGGAGCAGCATCAATAGGATGCCGATGAAAACCACAAATGAACTCTGGGTTATTATCTCTGCAGAAAAACGATGGGCAGTTCACTATCATCCAGCTGGTGGGCATGTTGCGCGGCATCGGAGCGGGCATGAGGTATCTGTCTGATCTGGGCTATGTGCACCGGGACCTGGCTGCCCGCAACATACTGGTGAACAGTAACCTGGTCTGCAAAGTGTCTGACTTTGGGCTCTCCCGCATCCTGGAGGATGACCCCGATGCTGCATACACCACCACGGTGCGTGTCTCCTAACACTGCAGTCTCGCTGGTCCCTACTGACAGTGATTGCCCAGTTGGAAAAGTTAGACACTCTCAAATCAAGGTAGGCAGGGCAGAGTGAAGATAGTCACCTCACTACTGATATCTGGACTAAAAGCATGAACCCAAAGAGCTTCTAAGCCTTAGCGCATTGTCCTTCATACAGGGACATCCCAGAATTGAAGTGTGCAGTGAACAAAGAGAAGCTGGGTGGGAAAGCAGGGAGCTGATCACCCAACAGCTCCTGTGATCATGCGTGGCCCACTGCACAGGGACACTCTCATGTCCCCGTTGGAGTCCTTCCCTAGACTGTGTAGCTTTATCCACTCCTTCAGTTGTCCTAGAGCCATTGGTCAGTGTTATGACGCGCTCTTCGGTAGCGTGACCACACACTAGCTTTTCCATGTGACTCTGTCTCACTCAGGAGGGTGGAATTGGCTTTGCAACCTAGATGATTTTGTTTTAAGGCAGGACGCTTTTGTCTGTTAAGTCGTTTTAAGATTTTCTGGCCAACCTGACAGCTGTGGAGCTTGATGTAATCCTCCACTGGAGGTCATCAGAGGGGAAATGAATCTTATGCTTCTCTGGCTACAAAAGGAATTATTGTGCTCCCTAGCCACACCTCTAGCTGGGCAAATGTGATGGGTAGTCGGTTGTCAATGGAGGCCAATTTGGAGCTGTAGCTGAGGAGTTTGAGCATCACTTTTCAGAAGGACCAGGATGAGAGAAGCAGACAGTGCTTCAGGCTAGTTTGAGATATCTCACAACACTGCAGAGCAGGGCCCAAATTGGTTGCAGCTCAGTATAGAGAACATGGTCTTCATGCTCTGGGCTTGGCTTCAGCCAAGTGGTGAAGTGAGCCAGAATGTGTCCTGAGGGTGTCTTTGCCTTCAGCTGCTCCTTTAGTTTCTCAATGAATAATGATCTTTTAATCAGATCTTTTAATTCTTATCAGATCAGATGAGATCTTTTAATTCTGGGGAAGGTTCCTGCTGCTTGGTTCAAGTACAGCATCTTCTGCATCTTGGCTTTGGGACTCCTAGAGGAAGGGTACGAAGGGGCCCAACATCATCTAGGCAGCCCATCTCCTTGTCTTTGGCCTACAGACACACATGTAACCTGACCTTCCTCCCACCAAACCAGTCTCTGAACTTTCCCCCGGCGCTTTCAATCTTTGTGAACAAATTTCCAGTGACAGTATGTCAGTGAACATGCTGGAAGATGACCTGAGCAACCAGAGCTCATGTATTGACCTACCTGCAGACCGTTCCCAGTCCTGGCCAGTTTCTAGAGACATCGTCTCATGTCCCTAGTGTGAATGCAAGTAGGAATGTCACCACAGGATGGAGCAGCCACCAGGCACGTCACAAGCAGAGGCTTTGAGGTATCTTGGCACAGTGAAACTCACCAGAGGTGGTTGCTCTGGAGGAAGACTAGGTGCATAGTCTGGATAGAACTGAACCACAAGGATGCAGTGACAGGATCAGGAGCATGAGATCTCTGGCAAGGTCTCAGTCACGCTATCTCCTGATAATGAGGATGCTTTCTTGTTCATAAACTTGTGATAAGATGGTATCCTGTGTTCCTCCTCTGTTGTCCTTGATCTGCTCAGGAGATATCTTCCCAAAAGGGACTGTCTCTCAAAGAACACATCATTCATCTTCAGTCCTCATCAAGGAGTGTGCCGGAGTAGGTAGGACTTAGTTGGGTTGTAGCAACTCTCCCTAGACAGGTATACCTGAAAGGTGTTCCCAGGCACATCAAACCTGCCCTGGCTGCTCTGGGAAACCCACTCTACATTCCCTGTACCACAACTTTCCTCTTCGAATGTCTGTCAGCCACATTTCTAGATTAAATGTATTTGCAGCCCATGTATTGATGGTTTTTGTCAGCATGGTCCTTTAACTCAACAAGTCCTCCTCTTCAGTGCTTGCCTGACAAAACAGTAACGGACAGGGAGCACATGCCATTGCTCTTTTTCTCTGCTCAGGTCAGGTTCTCTGCCTGTGCCCAGGGTCAGTTCCATGCTCTTGTGCTCTGGTAGCCCTCGGCTCCATTTCATCACTTTGAATTCCTCTCTCTTGAACACTGAGGGCCAGAATTGTACATGAAGAAAATCTTGTAAAAAAACACAGCTTTCTCCTTGCTCTACTGGAAATACCTTGAAGTCATCCTTCAGGTACACCTCTAGGCTTATCTCGTGCAATTTGCTTCCTCAGTCCTTTCCAGAAGATGCCATCCCAGCATGTTGCTTGTCTAACCTGCTGTCCCAGCTGCAGAGAGGTAGGGATGCCTGAGCCCTGCGTGCTCTGAGTCTCTGCTGTTGCTCACTTTTTCAGGGGGGGAAGATCCCCATTCGCTGGACGGCTCCAGAGGCCATCGCATACCGCAAGTTCTCCTCAGCCAGTGATGTGTGGAGCTACGGCATTGTCATGTGGGAAGTGCTGGCCTACGGCGAGCGCCCATACTGGAACATGACCAACCGGGACGTGAGTGGACGTGGGGCAGCAGGGCGGCAAGTCTTCCCCTCCTCTTGCCCCCACCCAAGCCAGCCTAGCAGAGGGACTGGGGATAAGAGACCCAAAGAGCAGCCCTTGCCTCACATCCTCTCAGGGCTGTGCACAGTGTGCTTGTCCCCTCAGTGGGGACAAGAGTGTGTTGCCCACCATTGCACCATGCAGCCTTTCCCTTTACAGCTCTGTGGCTCCTGGCTGTATCTGGTTGTGTGCATTGTGGGTGTCCTCATCCCTGTCTGCTGCTCTACACAAGATGGGTTGAAGAGCTTCAGGACATTCTGTGTCACATTTGCCATGCCCTGACAGGGCTCAGGGCTTCCCTAGCATCACTGCAGCCCCATTGCATGAGCCTGATAGTCCGTCCTGCATCCAGTGCTGGGGGTCCATCCCTTCCACTGCCCACTGCTGGAGGGTGGGGAGGCTCTGAAGAGGGATCTGGACAGATGAGATCCATGGGCCAGGACCAATTCCATGATGTTCACAGAGGCCAAATGCCGGGTTCTGCACTTTGGCCA